TTTGTTTTCGTCGTGTGACAGTACGCACGCATAATGACATTAGATCCACTTGATGTCACTCGTTCTAAATGATATTAGATTTGCCGTGTGACAGGAGTATAAGTAAATCTCCGTAAAACTGAATAATCTGCGGTATTACAGTCAATGGCAGCTTATTAAAATCGTTCCCAGATAGTCACTTTACTATTGTTTTTTTGTGCTCCTTGCAGAAGTCATGTAAATTGTAAAATTATTTACCATAATTATCTGCTTTATATCCTCTAACAACTTAGGTTTTTAGCATTGCTACTTTGTAAACTTCAGGATTTACCTTTTTATGGCAAATTGATTGTGCGCGAATGGGGGTAGAACGTCTAAGTCAGGATTCTAATTTCTGCTATGAACTCGTTAGAATTGCTTTCTTTTTCTAGTTTTTCAAGAGGAAAAAGACTTGCTCCACAACATCACAGTTATCTCATGGGAGAATTGCTGCCCTTTGCATTTATTTGAAAAGAAAAAAAGGTTGGAGTTAGCAAATGTTCAGCGAGTTCTCATTTTATTCCTAATCAAAACAGGCTACCGCTATGAAGCAATAGGATACGACTGAACAAAGTGATTGTTTCTTCTACGGCTTACAGTGCTTAGCAATGTGTTATGTATATTAAATACATCGCGTGGTCGGCCGCTATATGCTATCCGCAAATGCAAACTGTGCGTATTTAGTGAGATAATATTGTATTTATTGTCGAGTCAGGAAACTAAAAACTTGTATTATAACTTTTTTAGCGCGCACGAAACACACAAGAGACAGATGAGCGTTATTCATGTTTTCAAAGAGATGACTTTCGATGGCTACCTTGAACGCGCTTTTCACACAATGATGTTCAATGAAATTGTGTCCGATAAAACGGTGTTACTTATTCATCACAACCTTTTACCGTCGGCGCGCAAGTTACTTCAGCGATTTCAGAGTTAGGAAGCTCGTGCTGTTACGGTTCCCAAAGTTTCGGACGCATAGATGTAAACAAACGTCTTATATAAGTTTGCAGAACGGATAAAAACATCTTGATTAAATTACATAGCTTCAAATAACGCTAAGCCTTCAGTGTCCGTTGCGTAATGGCGGTGGACACATGCGATCGGCTGTAAATACTGCACGTATTAGAAAAAGTTGCTGATCACTCATTAGTACGCTGTACATCATTGTTACCTATATTATAGTTTTCATTTATTAATAAACGCACATCACATTCAAAGTACAAATGATGTCATTAGAAGCATTCTAATTTTAGAAAGCAGTACAACTATAGGTGCGCAAAACCAAACAGCTAAAGAACACCGATGACCCTCGAAACCGCGCTACTGGAACGCCACCCCGCGGCGAATGAAACGAAAACATCAGCGGAACAAGCCGCAAATATTTCTCGCGATGTTCCCCTCGGGTGCCTCGACGATGACCTCTACGCAGCATGTACGCGAAACAAATACAAGTGAAACGCAAATGCCAATTACGGAGGAGGTCCGCTGCGACCTCGCCGCGATGTTTCCTGCCACTAGGGCGCTCAGATCGTTTTCCCCTGAACGTTCGCAGAGAAAAGAAATTATTTCTGTTGACTTCTAGACGAAACAGGGCGAGCCCGCTAGCAGTCACGGTCACTGTCGCCTAGAAAAGAGGGAGCGAAAAGAGAAAGAGAGGTGAAGGAGGGAGAGAAGAAAAAGTAAAACTAGTGCAGGTCATGGCTACAGCCCAGGGCAACGTGAATTACGCTTTCGCAACCACAGACCATCATGGCAGGGGAATCGATGTTTGAAGACAATGATGAAAAGAAGAATGCTAGAGTGAACAACTTTACGTTGGGTTGTTACAGATACGGGGACATCAAGATAACGCTCAGAGGAAGAGGAATTATTTTAAAAATTACAATACAGCTTTCCAGGAACCGCAATCTGGGCGTCGTAACGGCACTCTTACAAGTTGTACTGCCTAAGGACAAGCATGAGATTTAGTGGTTTGAAGTTTGGAAATGCACTTATCGATGCGGCCCACATGGGATCACGTTTAAGGGTCATTGGAAAGAGGAGGTATAGAAGGGAAAGAAGTTGGCAGTAAGGGGACGTTATACCTTTTGGAGAAATGAGTAGCCACAACATATAGCAGCATTCATAACTGGCTTTTCGCTCTACTTACGATCATGTGTGTATTGCGGCTCTGGTAATCGAACCCAGTTCATGAACGTTCCCTGAGATACGAATTTAATGTTAGTGTGTTGGCACTGCTCTATACCGGAATGCTCCGCCTGCTGCTGCTTATTATCTGCCCTCCTTTTTTTTTTGGGGGGGGGGGGGGGGGGGTGCCTTTTGATCCCGGAATATTGTTATGGTGCTTGTGAAAGAAATGTATACTATGTCGCATTATTCTCTGCTGGCCTTGTGAGGCAAAAGCTTCAGATGCATTATCAAACACGCAAATTGACCGTTGGCGTGAGCCATGCAACAAATCACCATCATGTGATGACGTTGCCATGCAATTTCGTCATTGCGTCACACTGCGCCAAAAGTTGTAGCACAATTTTATTTTTTTTATTTATTCATCAATACTGGAGGCCAATATGCTTGCCCATGCATGACTATAGCATGACTTCAAATACCGTGACGTCCCATGATTTTGTCTTGATATCGAATCGTTAATTGAACAAAGGTGGGCCAATCAAGAAGGCTGTGCAACCAGATGGGCCAGAAATTTTTCCAAATGCATGGGTGGGCCAAAAAGAAATGTCGAAAGTAGGCCAGTTACGGAGACAGTCTTGGAGCCTGTACAATACCGCGTTAGTGACAGGCGACGTTTGGAGAAAGGAGGACTGAAGGACGAATACGTCGTCTCAGAAAAAAAAAGGAGAGGGTTTTGCTCTATACATCCGCCTTAAGCGAATCTGTAACGAACCAAGTGAGTTTTTTAAAAGTGTCAAAATATACCGAACAAGCTGGACTCGTGCGTGAATCTGCCAATCAGCATATATAGTTTACTGTTTTCCAATTTCGTATAATCCATGGTTTAACAAGATACTTGCGTGCACTGCATGTTTCAATTTGACACAGAGACAGCAAAATAAAGGACAGGCGGGGAGGTTAACTAAGTGAAGACCCCGGTTTACCACTCAGTACAAGGGAAGAGGAAAAAAAAAAGATGTAAAAGAATGAAATAGGAGTGTTTGTGACAGTGATAGTGGCTTGGAATTTCATAAGACTACCGGTGATTGGCAGTTATGATTTCTTTTGACAGTCTAGAGCCATGCATAAACATTGTTTTCTTATCCACTTGACGCCAGATGGCCCGACAATATGATCGGTGCTCCTTCTAGTGTTCCCTTTAATAGTGTATTGTACTGTACATATACGTATATTTTCTGTATTGACCCCTCCCCCCTCATAGGGCCTGCATGACACTTTCAAATATATAAATAAATATCAATATATGTGGGGAGGCGTTTATACTTGACCTACTGTCCACATTTATGCAACACTTCACATAGTCAAATATCAAGGATTCCACTTCCCGCGAGGCGAAGTTGAGTGGATCCGGTCAAACAACCCCAATATAATAAGTGGCCTCTTTACGACGCTAATGCATCCTTATCGCAATTCGCACGTTGAAAAAGAAGAAAAACTACAAATAGGCGGCCTAGTGGCATATAAAGGCCTCCGTGTCCTTTTCGTGCGGGGAAGAGAGCTTCAGCGCTGATCACGCGTGCCTTCGTATACTCCCGTCGCGTACAGAGGAATCGGTCATTTACGTCCAGGTGGCTTCCATGATTACGCTGGTATTTTTCACTTCCGCGTCTTGATAGCAATGATGGATGGTATACACCGACGACGACCGACGCTTAAATTAGCCTCCGCGTAATTAAAGACTCCTTCATAGACTTGAATTTCACACGACGTAAGACCAACGTTTTATTTCCTTCCTCCCTCTTGTTTTCTTTTTTTGTCTTACTTTTTGCCTTTCTAAAATTGTTATCAACATCTATCTATCTATCTATCTATCTATCTATCTATCTATCTATCTAGCTATCTATCTATCTATCTATCTATCTATCTATCTATCTATCTATCTATCTTCTATCTATCTATCTATCTATCTATCTATCTATCTATCTATATCTATCTATCTATCTATCTATCTATTCTATCTATCTATCTATCTATCTATCTATCTATCTATCTATCTATCTATCTATCTATCTATCTATCTATCTATCTATCTATCTATCTATCTATCTATCTATCTATCTACTATCTATCTATCTATCTATCTATCTATCTATCTATCTATCTATCTATCTATCTCGCTTTTCGTTTGCAGCGATAAAGCTCCTTCGCAGTATTGTACTCGCGTATGAACGGAGAGCAACACAGATATAGTATTACGATCACGCGGCACGCCATTGTGCAGGTTATTTCGAGTGTTTTTTAACTACCTTGAACTCGTGAACGTGTGCCAAAATCTAAGTGCATGGACGCTCATTCACTTTGCATGAAAAGGCGGTTGGCTAGGCCGAGACTCGAACTCACATCCTTAAGTTCAGCCGCTCGTGAATATAATTGAAGAGGACAGTGGCCAGTGCGACAGCCTAACTATTGCCTTTCGGGAACATCCATAGGTTATAGTGCAATAATGTAGCTAACGTGGACATTGCATGGATATTCAAAGTGACTGGATAGATACGCTATACCTTAGGGAGTTGAGTTAAGGTAACTCTTGCTTTGACATTTTAGTATGCATGCCGCCAGAAACGTTTGCCGGTAACATTTCCGTGCGCGTCACTGGTTCATTCCAGGCACCTCGTTGTGAAGAAACTACGACGTGTTTTGCGACGGGCGCTTGTTGATTGCCGTTTCGGATGCTCATGCGTGCTAACAGTTCTCTGTTTTATCTGAAGCTTTAGCAAGTGTTAGTTTTCAAAAACTGCCTTCGATGCCCACGATCTTCGTTTCTTATACAATGTCGCATGCTCTCTGTGCAGTGATAAACGTTGCCGCCGGCAAGGCCCCTTTGCAGTCTTCAACGGTGGCCGGCGGAGTGCCTCAGAAGGCCGTTGACGGCAGCACCAGCGCCTTCTTCACACCTGACACTTGCTCGCTGACCGAACCGGAACTGTCACCATGGTAGGTTGAAGATTTTCATACAGCGATATTTGTGAAATCCTCTATTTTGACCTTAATTTTCACTTTACTATGTGCAATGTTCTTTCGTACACTTAAAAAAAGGTAGAACGCATGCTGTATATTACTCCAGCACTGTTCACGTTGAGTAAATTGACATGGTAGAGACTCATAAATCGTATACTAGTTCTCCCTAGTCTCCCTCTACACTTAAGCTTCATTCTATTAGGATAGAGGAATCGTTGAACAGAGTACGCCTCTCCAGTGAACCTATCGGCAAGACTTGTCTTCGACAGCTCAGCCTTTTGGAGGGTACGCGTGCGTGTGGAAACGTGTTTGCTGCAGCGACGTATCTTGAACACAGATTTCTCATTCCGTAAAGTTTCACTTGCCCTGAATTTCCGTGCCGTTCGCACCTCTTATCTCTCTCTCTCTCGTCTTTCTATTCCCCTTCCCCAATATCCCACTGTACAGTAGCCAAGGGGCAGCTTTACTGTTTAGATGGACACTAAAGTCAAATAACAAATTACGCCAGAGTGATAGTTCAATGTATACCATTTTCTAAAACGACAATGTTATGAAGAACAGTGCCCTACTTACTGAGAAATTAAGGTAATTGCACAAGATCACAAGCGCCACAGTAGGACATTTTCGAAATGATCCCAACGACATCAGATGGACCGCCTGCAATTAATCACTAGCAATCGATCTAACTGCACTCAATAAATCACCTTCTGTGCATCAAAAGACGGAATAAAATGCTGATTGTTCGTTTCTGTTTGATTCATGGAAAGAAGAACCAGTGGACATCACTATGGGGAATGGCACGAGTGGTTCAATAATTCAATTTTCGCGTGGTTACACGGCACAGGTGCTGTCATCTAGAGGGGCGCAGCTGAAACAACAACGTCTACAATTTCGAAGCCAATTGCGAGAAATTGATCACTGGCCGTTGTTGCTGCTGTGACTCCCGCTGCTTTCGGTCTGCTGCTACTAGTGCAGTAAAGCCAAGCAACGTTGTTCCCGGCAACAATGACATGAGGCGGTCCGGTTGGTCCGCTTCTTGAAGCGGGTGATTTCAAGTGTGCTAACCCGATCGGAGCACTAAAATGTGATTTTATTTCAAAATAGGCCCTTCCTTGGCACGAGAGTAACGCTACGAGGTTCCTGGACCGCCATTTCAACAATAAAGGTCGACTTAATAGTTGGCTTTAGTGTTCCTTTAAAGCGGCCCTGTGACACATATTAGGCCTCTTGTTTTCATCGTGCACCAATATCGTTGTGCAAGTGGTCATGCCAAAAACAATGTTGCTATTATATTACTTGTACGAAGAAACCACACTGTCCCGGAATAAAGTGACACTCAGTGGCTATTTTAGTGATAAGAACTGATACCATCTTCGGTAATTGTACACCGAAGCAGTCGCGCAACAGTCTAGAATTTCACCAAAACCAAAAAGGGGCAGAACGCCCCGGTTCTGTGGAGGGGCAAATGGAATACCAGTCATTGCGCATCGTCTGCTGATCATCTGCTGATCATCTGCTGCTCGCGCGGCACGCAACGAATGCTGGGATTGCACAGTTTCGCCCCGCCGATTTTTACGGAGCACCTCAGAGCAACAACAACAACAAAAAAGTGCCCCGACAGGGTGCGCCCTGGTTACCTAAGACGTTTGGTGCGCACCGGTGCGCTTTCCCGAAGATGCCATGAGTCTTCGCCTCGTGGAAGTGAGGACTTGGGCGTGCGTTTTCATTGGCTGAATGCGACAAGTTGCCCATAATATTCACATGGTCCCAGGTAGGCCACACTATATATTGTTCGCTAAAAATTATAATTGCACTTTTCATACTTCCTAATATACAGAGTTCCTGTTCCTAATTAAGATGTCAAAACAATTGCAAAACGACGCTAGGAGCGCTGCACAACGGCTACCACTAGAGTTACTGTATGTGCTCTCTACATAAAGGTAGCATACACAGTATCTCTAGCTACCATGAGGCGAGCCGTCCGGTGCGTCTCTGCGGTGGCTGGAATCGGTCTTTGACGTCAGTGGCAGAGTGAAAGCGAAATGGGACGTTTGTTCTCGTCGCCTGCTGGGATTCTGAAGTTTGGAGGCTATTTCGCTTCCATTAACGTATACCGATTTTGGAAAATACATTTTGTGTTCATCTCAGTATTCGCCCCTACTCGAACTTCAGCGCTGCTGACTGCACACGAAAAAGCGTCGCAGGGCCCCTTTAACCACTCTGCTCTCTGCCTTCTCGTATCCTTTTTTCACGCTTCAATTGTCTCCTGAACTCATGTGTTGTTTAAAATTTTCATATCTTACTCATACTTTTATTCACCTTCTTCAATCTTCCGGTGTAGGGCAGCCGATCGGAATATCTTCTGGTTAAGCCTCCTCCACCTGCATTTGTTTTCAGCCTTCCAGCTGGTTCTCACATGTCCTGTAGTTTCCTGTACATTTCTTGTATAACAATTTCTCATTCCTTCAAGCTTCCGTTTTGGCTCGCACTCGTGTTGTTTCAATGTGTTATCCCTTCTCATCGTTCGATTCCCTTCCCCAATTGCTAAAGAAGGGTAGTCGACCAGAAGTGTTTCTGGTTGACTTCGTGGCTTCTGCTTTCTGTTGCCTTATTTCCTTGATCTCTTATGTCGCGTGCTTCTCGCAGCTTTTATTTCTCGTCGCTCAGCAAACTATTTTTGTTAAACTAGGTGGTACGTGAACCTACTCGAGCCGTACGTCGTGCAACTGGTGCGCATCGACTGGGGCCGATCGTCCCAAGTGGATCCCGATGGTTCCGTCGTCGCGAACACCGTCGTGGTGCGGGTAGGGAACAACCGACCCGACCTTGGCGCCAATCCGGTGTGCAACCGATTTGCCGGACCACTCGAAGAAGGAAGACCCCTGTTCCTGCCCTGCGCAGCACCCATGCCAGGCGCTTTCGTCAGCATACATCTCGAAGGTAACGTAACAGCTCTGAATGCGACCTATTTGTTACGTATGCTTTGCAAAAAAAAAAAAACAGCGCTGAATAAAACACGGACAAACAAGGACACAGGATTAACATTGACTGTCAACGGCTTTGTTGGAAACAAATTAGTTTGCAGAGCATGCATTGTGTGTCCTTGCTTGTCTGTGTTGAATATTGCACTTTTCTTGACTATGGATCTCGAAGGTGAGCTGGTGGGCGGCTTCGCTTCCAGAAAGTAGCGCTGGTCGCATCGACATGAGTATTAGCGAGCCAAGCTACTGAAAAGTTCACTTGAATGGAAGAAGGATAATACAAATCAGCACCTTTGCTACTGCGAGTGAGAAAACATAATGACTAGCAATGCAAGTTGTTGGGCCAGTCCTCTTACATTCATGACACTGCTGGCACTACATCACGCTCCAGCTAGATGCCTGAGGCAAAAAATGCCTCTTGCCGTAGTGACATATTGTGATATGACCAAAGCTATAAAACCATCTTAACGCTCTTGACGGAGATTGCTCAAGATGCCCTATGCGGTTGCTGTTTGATTAACACGTCCCTATCGGAAAAAAACGAATGGTGGGCATGGTGGAAACCACCACCCACCATTATAGTGGATTAATGTAGTGGGTGAATGGTGGGAAACACCCACCATGGCGCATGGTGGGTATGGTGGGTGCTGCAGTGCCGGCAACACTTGAGCGCAAAATGACGTCAGAATCACCGTGACGAGCTGCCACAAAAAATAAAAAAGAATTCTATAAAAACGGTATAAGAAAACACCCGTCCCGTAAAAAAAAAAAAAATAAGGCGCCACGGAGGATCGAACGTGTAACCTGCGTATTCCCATTCGAAGACGCTAACCACTGCGCCACACCGTTTTTTTTTCTTTATTTAACAACTGCGCCACACCAACATGACGGTGGCTGCGTGTTAAATACTTAGTTGGCGTACAAACTTAAGGTTCAACTTAAGTTATGTTTGTCGTGTACACAACATAGACAAGATCTACACCTGCTACTAAAAATTGCACATTTATTAAACACAAGCAACTGCGCCCTGTAACGATTGCCACTATGTTATTGGCACTAGTGCTATTTTTTTTTACAATTCACAACTTAAAGGAAAAAAAAAACCAAGTGGACTGGGGAGCAGCAACAGTTTACCGGCGGGGTCTGCCAAGTTTAATATCCGTTTCGCGCTCGTTCTAAAGGGTGACATCTGCTCACGCTTTATGACGCTTCTAGGCTCATTTCATAGATACGCCCGCCTAATTTATTTGAGTGAGTATTGGGATGCTTTTCGCGCAATGTAGAGGACGGTCGCGCCAGCGCAATGCTGTTGCTCTTTCGCTAAAGCAACAACTACATAACGGCTTGGCCAAAACGAATGCAGTGTACCGGAAACATTACGCTATCATAATGGTTCACCAAGCACACGAATTGCCACGTCTGAGTTCTTGTACAAAAGCTAGAGAAGTGCCGGCGAGTGCGACCGGCGGCTGTCGGTCAGAAGACACTAAATTACGTTCTCTGGGAGTGCTTTAATCGCGTCGCATCGATGTTTGTTGCTTCTTGAGCGAACAGCATACACAATGAAAAATGCTTCATTTAGGTTAATTGATGCCATATGGCTGCGCTGTATTGTCATACTTAATCGTCGTAATCGTGTATTCTGAAACCCGGAAGCACGGATAACACAATTGTACGGGCTCGGTCAGTAGGCCTAACCTTTGGTGGAAATCATGATGGTAGAACATGTAGTGTACAGATCCCAGCTTGGTACACTATATAATTTGCCCGCCATTATAAGCCCACCCATCATCTGCTTACTGCTTCCCAGCATTATCGCGATGGTGGGCAGAGCTTCTCAGCTTGGTACACCATGTGGCCCACCATAACAAGCAGCACCCATAATCTGCTTAGTGCTTCCCAGCATTATCGCAATGGTGGGAAGAGTTTCTCAGCTTGGTACACCATGTAGCCCACCATAATAAGCACCACCCACCATATGCTTAGGGCTTCCCAGCATTATCGCAATGGTGGGCAGAGTGTCCCATTATTGCCCACTATCTAGCCTCTGCTTTCCACCATCATTTCCACTTTACCCATCATCTGTACACCATACCACCCAGTATGTCCCGGCATAACCACCATATTTTCCACTACGTCCCACCATAGCCATCATAATTTCCACCATGCCCACTATTATTTCCACCATGCCCACTATTATTTCCACTACGCCCACCATGTTTTCCAGTATCCACCATGGCAATTTTTCCAATAGGGGTAGGCTTTGCATAATTCGTCGAAGGCGTTGCTTCCCTTTGCAAAGACATACACACTTCTGATGGTTGATGAGAATGTTAAGCAGCAACTCTAGCCTAGCTTAGCTTAGCTTTGCGTTACAGATTCACCCCTACAACCACGGACTCGCTCGACAGGTCCGGCCCCCCTGTCACTATGCGAGGTGTTCGTCTATACGGACCAGGCGCTACCCGTGGAACGGTGTCCGTCCTTCCGCGATCAGCCTCTTGGTTCGGCGGCCACGTACCACGGCAAGTGCTACGCCTTCTACAACAACCAACCGGCGCCATTCGAGACAGCGCGGCGTTTCTGCGAGCAACGAGGGGGCTCACTAGTGGACGAGACGAGCCCCGCACTGCAGGGCTTCCTGAGCTGGGAGCTCTACCGACGTCACAGGCATGACGGCGACTCCGGACAGTACTGGATGGGCGCCACCAGGTGAGTGTCCATTTTCTTGACCGTATACAATGGACAAACTCGGACTGGGATCTACCTGTACCAGCTCCTGGAACCATCTGGGCTTGTGGAATAACGAGGACTCCGTATCTAAATGTGAGTCCTAGTTAGCCCAGCTGAGTAAAAGTTCGACATACCTTTAGTAAGACAGAATAAAAATAAGCCCCAAGCAAAAAACAGTTATATTTTTTAGTGAGTCCGAGTTGATTTCGTTTTTTTTTTGCAAACCTACAATGGCCGATGGCCTAAAACAGAGGTGATTAGAACCACGAATCAAGCTTTTTTTCGCACTTACATTATTCTAGGCCTTTGTGCAGCACATCACACATGTGTGTTCCTCCATGTCAGTTTGTTGTCCTCTCCGAGTTTGTCATGTCTTGCTCAGTGCATGATGTACACGTCATGAAAACAAAACTGTTTCGAAATTTTCGCGAAACACAATCATGCATTTCCATGACGTCTGTGTGTAGGGGACATTTTATATCAGTGACCCATGTGAGCTGTTTCAGAGAGCAACTGTAGGCAAGGTAGATGCAGGGCACCAGTAAAATCACGTCTATGGATGGTTCAGTGTTTGACTGCGACTGGTGAACACACCTGTAGACCGAGATGAACGCACACAAGCTGGTGGCCGTGGGTTCTCACATTCAAGGGGCATGACTATTGAGAATTTAGCGGACCAGAAAATAAAGAATCGCTGCCTGAAAGAGTAAGCAAGCACTGGTCAGTTCTAGCAGGATCCCAATAGATCTCTCGCAGATAGACTTGAGGCATCGGTGACCTTAGATTTCAGCCGGACTCACAAAATAAATATGAAAGACGATTTACAGAGACGTACAGTAGGTAGCTTACGTATGTGAACTCAGGCCAACATCTGAATCATCCTACTACAAGTGGTGCAAGAAGCGCAAAAGTGCCCAGTATGACCTGAAGAAGGCACAGAAAGTGACCACGACTTCATCTGTAAACTACAGCGAGCGTGATCGACCTCTTCGCAAGACAAGCCACCGTTTCTCCAAACGTCATCGTCCCTGGCAAAGCACTCTATCGTCTCCGTGAAACACCCCCCTTCGCTAGTTTCACATCCTCTTCCACACGTTCGCCTCTTGTTCGCAAATGTCCGCCTCAACTCCTGCCGTTTTGCACCCGAACATTGCCACGAGTTCGCAAGCCGCGGGAGTGTGTTGCAAATAAAGGAGAAAGAAGGGTTGGTGGTCGCGAGCACGAGCCGCGGGAGATGGCTCGTTCAGTTGTTCCGTTCACTTTCGTTTTAGCCAGACGATCGGGCCAAATTCTCCTTCATCGTTTCTCACAGTCACTGCGCATAATCGTGGCGATGCCGAGTAGCAGCTAGTACACGTCATTTCTGATACATATTGTTGGAAAAACCACGTCGCTCTAAAATTTCAGCGCCCCGAAAACTGCGTGCACGGTATACGAGCATGCAGAAAAGTTTCTCAAGACGCGCTGAGGAGCATGAGATCATTGCGTCATGCGAAGGGCGCGTAACTATAATGCGTACTACGAACGCATTTTTATAGAGTAATAGTATATTTTACTTTCTGTAAGAAAGCACACAATATTTCAACACTAGCAGAAAAATTGTTGCCCGCGCGCACAGGTTCACGGTCACAAGAGGACAGGCTACATCGGATAATTCAAGTTTCTGCCACCACGTGGCGCCAAAGGTTGTTTTAGCGATTTTCAATGAACAATAAGTACGACTACCCTTTTCATAATGATGATGATATGTGGGGTTTAACGGCCCAAAACTACCATATAATCATGTGAGACGCCGTAGTAGAGGGCTCCGAAAATTTCAACCATCTGGGATTCTTTAACGTGCACCCAAATCTGGGCACACGGGTCTACAACATTTCCGCCTCCATCGGAAATGCAGCCGCCAGAGCTGAGATTTGATACCGCGACCTGTGGGTCAACAGCCGAGTACCTTAGTCACTAGACCACCGCGGCGGGGCTACTACACTTTTCCCGAAAACACGGTTGATTTGAGTTACTATGAGGGACAATCTTTCCATTCGAGCAGTCAATTCATTGCATATTCTGGGCAGTTGTTGGTCCTTTTAATATTGTCACAGTTCCGATCACCCCTACACAAGACGTTCTCACCGGTCATACAAATAAGACAGCAAACGAGTCGTTTGGGAACATATACCCTATTTTGCTCGGAGATTTCCCGACCGTTCTTTTTTCTAAACGGGTGTGGATAGATATACCGGGTGTTCAAAATTAAGCTTTATGATTTTTTTAAAATTAGGCGCTCGAAGGCACGTGAGAACCACTTGTGCAAATAAGTTAAGCGGCCAGGGGGACAGAAAGTTAGATGATAATTATCGCTGTCAGCAGCCCAATTAACTAAAATTTAATAATTAACTTTTTACTGGCTGCGGTAAGTTGGCATGTTTATATTGAAAAAATGTAGGCAGTGGTGTTTGTACACAGTTTCAGTTGGAAGATTTTTTCTAGCACGCCTGTGTTCCGAGATATCCGGCTCCAAAGTTTAATTGTCTTTCGCACGATTACGCATGCAAGAGGGTGAGGTCCGCGCAAAGCTCCTCCCTAAAGTGACGCATCTGTTGCGTGTGGTGTTTAGTGTGTGAAGAGGGTGGAAGCGTAGGCATAGGTGATAGCAATTACCCTTGCCCTCTTCGGCCGGCGAAATCAAAATGTGACAGCGCGGTGCGCCATGAGCCTTACGCATGATCCTGATGAACGCGATAACAGGAGACCATTTTTCGCGACGTTTTTTTCGTGACTTTAGATCACACTGAGACATCTTCTTGTGAACGCGTTAGCAGGACCGTCCTGCACTAGGGTGCCTCCGGTTAGAGCACAGCGTCTCTGCATTGAAGGTCTACCAAGGAAATCCACGTGGAGTCCTTTCGAGCTAATATGGCTGCTTCTGGCGTGAGGTATTCTACCAAAGTAAAAGTAGACGTGGTGCTTGCAATGGCTGAAATGAATGGCAACGCTTCGTTAGCAATGGAGCTTTACGCGTTTCGCCACCCACACCGTCCCCTTCCAACAAGGCCCACTTTCACAAACCTGTTTCGACGCTTCTGCACAACAGGCTCTGTCCACCTTCCGAGACGGACCAGGAAGGCAATCGTCGATGAAGACTTTGAAATCGACGTTGTCGCGTGCGTAACCTCGATGCCAGAGCTCAGCATCCGACAGATTGCCGATCAGTGCGGTCGCAGCATCGGAACAGTCACAAATGTTTAAGAAAGCACAAGTTCCATCCATATCACGTTTACCTTCATCAGGACCTAAATGAGGCGGACTTTGAAAGGCGAGTTGACTTCTGCAATTGGGGCCTCATCAAAACTGATCAAGAAAATGACTTTTTGCACAGAATAATTTGGACTGATGAAGCTCGGTTTTGCCGAAATGGAAGTGTTAATCTTCACAACGCCCATTATTGGGCACAAGAAAACCCACACTGGCTGAGGCAGCACAAGCATCAAGTTCGCTGGAGTGTGAATGTGTGGTGCGGCATACTCGGGGACAGGATCATCGGACCTCACTTTTTTGAGGACAACTTGAACGGAAAGATGTACACAGAAGAAATATTAGGTGTTGTCATTGATGATCTTGTCTGCAGTCTTTCCCTGAATGACCTGCGCCAAGTATGGTTTCAGCACGATGGAGCACCACCACATTTTTCTACCAGGGCGAAGAACTGGTTGGACAGACGTTTTCCACAACAGTGGATTGGGCGCGCAGGAGCGATGTTTTGGCCACCAAGATCACCTGACCTTTCTCCGCTCGACTTTTTCCTTTGGGGCTACGTTAAAGATCGAGTTTACGTAACAGAGCCCAGCGATGTTAATGACATGAAGGACAGGATAACATCTGCCTGTGCGAGTATTCCTGCAGAAGTACTGCGCCGAGTCATCGAGTCGACGCGACAGCGGTTCATGCTTTGCGTTGCTGCCGAAGGCAGGCATTTTGAACACTTTTTGGGGCATTGACGTCTTGAGAGGTGAAGAGTTTCGATGAGATTTGTGCATGACCGAAATATGCTTATGTAGCAGCAGGAAATATGCGTTAGCAAGGATAAAACTGTTTCAGTTATTATTGGTGGAGTTGTTGCTCTTGTTTCAATAAAAGTTACAGTACTCGGACATCAGCAGTCACGCTATTCGCGTAGCCCAGGCAACGACCACGCATGCTTCTCTAGTGATTATTACGCACGCGCACTGGCATCCAGATTCTCCGCTCGCACCAGTATCTCGGCATGGTATCTGCCACTATCGTTAGAGGCTCTGCAGTTGCGTGTTACGACACTGGTTGCAAGCGTTCTTCGATTTTTGATTTCGACGGCCGAAGAGGGCAAGGGTAATTGCTATCACCTATGCCTACGCTTCCACCCTCTTCACACACTAAACACCACACGCAACAGATGCGTCACTTTAGGGAGGAGCTTTGCGCGGACCCTCACCCTCTTGCATGCGTAATCGTGCGAAAGACAATTAAACTTTGGAGCCGGATATCTCGGAACACAGGCGTGCTAGAAAAAAATCTACCAACTGAAACTGTGTACAAACACCACTGCCTACATTTTTTCAATATAAACATGCCAACTTACCGCAGCCAGTAAAAAGTTAATTATTAAATTTTAGTTAATTGGGCTGCTGACAGCGATAATTATCATCTAACTTTCTGTCCCCCTGGCCGCTTAACTTATTTGCACAAGTGGTTCTCACGTGCCTTCGAGCGCCTAATTTTAAAAAAATCATAAAGCTTAATTTTGAACACCCGGTACTACGTATACTGAACTCTGCTTTGCATGAATCTTTTTCTTCCTGGCTATCGTTGCAGAGACCCACGTGACCCGACTAACTGGCGCTGGATCAACGGTCGAGAGGTGACCATCTCCTTCTGGAACTCTCCCACCAGCTCAGCCCCGGAGAACAACTGCTCTCGCTTTGACGGCAACCGCGGATGGCTGTGGTCAGACACCAACTGCGACCACCCACTCAACTTTATTTGCCAACACAGTGAGTAATCATTGTTGTTGCATGGACTGCATTCTCTTTTAGGGGCGAAGCTCCTTAGGGCGTGGGCTGTGCGTCCCCTGTAGCCTGTATGTAGCCACCTCTAGTTTAGTTCTTGCAGTGTTCACTAGATGGCGGTACCGTCTCCTGTATGTAGTCACCTCTCGTTTAGTTCTTGTAGTGTTTACTAGATGGTGGTACTTGTAGCTGATGATGAAAAGATGCAAGATGTTATAAACTAGAAAGCGGTACTTGTAGTTGATGAAAGACGCGAGATCTTATAAAATAGGAATGATGTCACATATGGCGCGTGTCATTGGTTAAAGGCAATCGTTCGATTTAGTGCGGTGACGTACGCTAGGGGGAGCGATGTAATAAAATCGAGTGGGCAAATGTACAGAGGATTCATGGTTTACCAGGTTTACCTCCGGAGCTTCCTTCGCCCACTCATCATGATTCACTTCGTGGATATGGCGGAATTTTTCACAAGATTTTTTTCTCCCCGACTTGACGTAGTTGACTCCCGTTACTTGGTTTCTGGCGGGAGAACATCATCTAGCCTGATGTAAAGCCCGATAGATATAACGAGCTCGGCAGAAGGAACATTTTTTTTTTGTGACACCATGACGGTGTGTTCGAGCAAGGCGAGACATCAATTGAACCGAAATACGAAAAAGAAGTAAAGGCAAAGTTTGCACTAAGCCGCTCATGGCTGGAAACAGTGAAATTGGTCGATTTTGAAGACTAACCTGCTTTCTTTCAGGTTTGTTTAGGGGATGCAGGTTCTATAGGCTGCTTATGGTGCATTCAGACGACGGATCGAATCCCGATGTGGCGGGACGGACGGCGCGTCACGTGACCTCACATCAGCGATTCCCCTCGTCCGCGACTCGTCCGCGCGACTCGCGGACGGATGAACCCAACCTGTTTCTCACATCGGGATTCTGGCGGGGGAGAGCCGGTACTTCAGCGGAATAGCTTGGGGTCGGTGGCAACCAGTACACTTTTCGTCTGCTCGCGGCATGTCCTCCATGGCTCGCGGACAGCTGCATGACTGGTCGGCATCATCTACGCTTGAGCATTGTTTACTTAGTTTCCGGAGACTTTGTTCTCAGGTGATTAAATGTGCAGAAATCAACTTTGGTGGTTCGGGAAATGTCGAGCGGCCGCGTCGCTCAAGCACGCGAGATTCTTAGCCGTATCGTGGTGAAAATATTCCAATTCTGCAACCGTCGACGTCCGCTTCTTAAACAAAAAAGGCAGGAGACCTTTTTAGAAAAATTGTTGCCCGCGCGCACAGGTTCGCGGTCACAAGAGGACAGGGCACATCGTATAACTGAAGTTTCTGCAACCACGTGGCACCACAGGTTGTTTTAGCGATTTTCAATGAACAATAAGTACAACTACCTTTTTTGATAATGATGATGATATGTGGGGTTTAACGGCCCAAAACTACCATATAATCATGAGAGACGCCGTAGTGGAGGGCTCCGGAAATTTCAAACACCTGGGGTTGTTTAACCTGCCCCCAAATCTGAGCACAAGGGTCTACAACATTTCCGCCTCCATCGAAAATGCAGCCGCCACAGCTGGGATTGGATTCCGCGACCTGTGGGTCAGCAGCCGAGTACCTTAATCACTAGACCACCGCGGCGGGGTGACTACACTTTTCTCGAACACACGGTTGATTTGAGTTACTATGAGGGACAATCTTTCCATTCGTGCAGTCAATTCATTGCATATTCTGGGCAGTGCGTTGTTGGTCCTTTTAATATTGTCACAGTTCCGATCACACCTACACCAGACGTTCTCACCGGTCATACAAATAAGAGAGTTGGGAACATATACCCTATTTTGCTCGGAGATTTCCTGACCGTTCTTTTTTCTAAACGGGCTTGGCTAGATATACTACGTATACTGAACTCTGCTTTGCATGAACCTTTTTCTTCCTGGCTATCATTGCAGAGACCCACGTGACCCGACCAACTGGCGCTGGATCAACGGTCGCGAGGTGACCATCTCCTTCTGGAACTCTCCCACCAGCTCAGCCCCGGAGAACAACTGCTCTCGCTTTGACGGCAACCGCGGATGGCTGTGGTCGGACACAAACTGCGACCACCCACTCAACTTTATTTGCCAACACAGTGAGTAATCATTGTTGTTGCATTGCGTGCATTCTCTCTTTCACAAGATTTTTTTTCTCCACGACCTGACGTAGTTGACTCCCGTTACTTGGTTTCTTGCGGGAGAACATCATCTGGCCTGATGTAAGCCCGGTAGATATAACGAGCTCGGAAGAAGGAACATTTTTTTTTGTGACACCATGCCGATGTGTTCGAGCAAGGCGAGACATCAATTGAACCGAAATACGAAAAAGAAGTGAAGGCAAAGTTTGCACTAAGCCGCTCAAGGCTGGAAACAGTGAAATTGGCCGATTTTGAAGACTAACCTGGATTCTTTCAGGTTTGTTTAGGGGATGCAGGTTCTATAGGCTGCCTACAGGTTGTTGCTAGGTTTTAGCTAGACGACTGTAGGTTGTTTCTACGTTGATTATTGGCGCCGAGAAGTTCAAGTTAAGCTACAGACAATCACAGAGACGAGGCGGGCACGTCGCTTTTGGCATGCCGCCTTCCATCGCTGCGGGGTCTTGACGCCATTGCCTCTCCCCTTGGTATTATCTCATTGTACGTACTCGGCGACTCGCCGCCGTCGCTTCGCAGCCATTTGATGGCTTAACTGCGGCCTTCTTTCTTTTTAGTGAAGGTACCGTGTGGTGGGATTCGCCCGATTTCTATGGTTCATGCACCTCTATGATTATGACGGCTTTCAATGCGGGATGAACAAGAAATGTTTTCCTAACCAGCTTCGCTTAACTGTTAAAAATTATTGTCAATTGCACTGGAATGCAATTGTACGCTAATGAGAGTCTGTTTTGTGCCATTACTATATGCCGTTAGTCACAAAACGCGTTCGCCTTGAAGTGTTCACGAAAGTGGCAGTAATGCTGGCGGACAACTTTGACAGTTGTGCTATCGAAGGGACTGACAGCCAATTTTTCCCGAGGCAGTTTTTTTTTGACAGCGCTACGAAATGCCCCCCATTCCGCCGCGGTTGATTCCAGAAGCACGTGAATGTTTTGTTAGCAAAGTTCTCGCTTCTGAGAAACCATTAATGTTCGAGTTTCCCCCCTCCAGCAACGCTGAGAAGCAGTAGTGATGCTGTTGGCCTTCCTCACAAGCTTTTTATCAAGCTTCTGCCTGCATAAGACTGTGCGAAACTGTTGTTCACCAGCTTAATTTTGACATTTTCAAACGTTTTTTGAATACAAAAGTGGAAACAGAAAAAAGTTTCCCGAACGCTTGACGTCACGTGAAGACCCTTTACTGCCTCGCTAGCCATGAATGCTCCCCGTACTTCCCCAATTAACGTGTCGACAAGGGTCGCTACGCCCTAGGCTAATAATTTTTATGCTTCGGATTATGAGAATCGGATCAAACGTCAACCTAAAGCAGCGCCATGGTTCTACGCATGGTTGCGAAAACGCATACCCGCAAGTTTCAAGTTATTATTAAAGATTGTCGTAAAAAATAACTTTATTTCAACATCAATCTAAAGATAATTAACCGGGTACACCAGTAAAAGGCTCCACGATGTGATTCAGATATAAGCAACGTTCACCTTCTCGAGCGCATGGGATGCCAAAAGTAATCTTTTGCAGTTTTTGCGGGAGAATGAAAATAGCAATCCGCGTTTATTAAGGAAGCGCAAGGTTCGTTGTGACCGACAACAACATACGATCTTTCCACTCGTGGAGATATTTGATGGCGTGTTATTTATTTATTTATTTATTTATTTATTTATTTATTTATTCAGATACCTACAGCGCCCTACTGGGCATTATTGTAGGGGCATTTATTGTAACATGAAAAGCAACAAACATTATGTAGGAATAAAGATAACATCAACACTCTACACTTAAATAACATCATAAAAAGACTAAACATCACGTTACTAAGAGGTTGATACAGGCTGTACAATACGAAAAAGCAATAAAACATATTATTAAAGTAAAACTTTTAAACACAAATTAACTTTATAGATA